TGCTATTTATGTTGACAAACAAAAACTATTTAAAATTTAATATAACTGTTATACTCAAGCATAGACCTACACAGAGGAATGTGTTAACACCACAGCCATATTTGAGTTATCTTGATAATGTTTCCTCCCCCCCCCCCCCCCCACCCTTTTCAAACTCACCCGATATAACCTGTCCCAGATACGGCAGGCCATGCAACGTTTCATAGCTAATACTGCCATCAGCATTAAATGCCTCATTGATTTCCTCACGCATTCTATCCTGTACATCCTGATTCAACGCCAATTCGTACAGAGCAAAACCCATTGTCGATGATGAGGTCTCAAAGCCACCCACAAAGAAAACAAAAGCCTGGGCCGCCATTTCCTCCAAACTCAGCGTGACACCATCCGATTTTCCTTCACCATTTTTCAAATCAATTAAAATCGAAAGAAAGTCATTGGCCTTGATGTTGTTCTGCTCACGATAGGCCACCGTTTCGCGTACAATACGCATAAAAAAATCATTGACATCATCGGGCACCATGCGCATATCCAATTTCTTGGCCAGGTTGGGAAAACCCTGTATGAACCCCGTCAACAGTTTGCCATGTCTGCGTCCACTGAGGGATCTCTTGCCCATAATGCGAAATTCGGCATTCGGGTCTTTGAGGCTGTTGCATTCAATGCCAAAGGCACACTTGCCAATGACATCGGTGGTAAAGCGGGCCAATAGCTCCTTAATCTCTACCACATTGTTTTTATTCTTTTGACTTAATTCTCCAAAAACTCTGACGAAATTCTCGGCCACCTCCATTATGGTGGGGTACATGAAGCGCATTTTACCCGAGGTAAAGGTGGGCGACAATTTGTTGCGTAGATTTTTCCATTTAGCCCCGTCTAGAAGGAATAAGTGGCCCGTTAGGGGATCGGTTTTCTCGTTGTGGAACAATCCGCGATCGGTGAATTTCGAAAAGTCTTTAATCAGAATATTCTTGGCCAATTCGGTTTCCAACACCAAGACAGCCGGCCTCTGGAAGAAATAGAATCCACAAAAGGGTCCCGAACCCTTGTGCTTTTCATAGGGTTCCCGCGTACAATCGGCAAAACTGCGTGTGGTCATCAGACCCTGAAAATTGCCAGCCATCAGACTGGGTTCATCGTGAGGAATACCCAGCTGCTTCCAGTAGTTCATGCGTTTCTTGACGAAATACCAAGCCAATGTGGTCACCGTAATAATGGCGTATAACAGATATGTAATTAAAGCCATGTTAGAACTTTGCGTTTCTGTTTTTCAATTTAGCCGTTCGTTTGCTCCGCCGTTCATTGCTAGACTAACTGAATGTGCTGGTGCTGTCAGAGGGTATATAGCTGCTCTCAGAGCGTAAACATATGTTAAAAGCTTGTTTAATAACGCTGACTGGTTATCGCAAAATGTTGCCTCTTCATCTAAGATAACATGAAGGATGGGTGAGCTAAGAACGCACAGAAATATAGTAAGAAAGTAGAAAAAAAAAAACATTTATGAATAATTGCCACCTATACGTATCTGTTTGACTCACCAGCAAAGTTTTGATTTGAGAGCAAATTTAACCAATTAGTAAAGCAATCGGTGAGGGGAAACAATAAAATATGCTGATAGGTCGTGGTTATTGGGGTATTTCAGTTTTAATAACTATTATACACTATAATTAAAACAACTTGTTAGGGCAAGAAAAATGCATTTCATGATTTATAGGTGGTTTTTTTTAATGTATAACAGTTTTAGAAAACTGTTATACAAAATCAATAATACGTAAATTACACACTTAATGGTAAGAATGTAATTTTGTATAATTTTATTACATTTCTAAGGTGTATAACAGTTTGGCATAACTGTTATACTGGAGAAAATGTTTGCAAAAGCTATGACAAACACTTTGAGGTCACTTCAAACTCAATTTTGTATAATTTCCCTACATTTCTAAGGTGTATAACAGTTTGGCATAACTGTTATACTGGAGAAAATGTATGCAAAACCTATGGCAAACACTTTGAGGTTACTTCAAACTCAAAACACTTAATTTTAAACTGTATAACAGTTTGGCCTAACTGTTATACTACGAAAATATTGCTATAAAATACATAGAAATAGTTTTAAACAATCTGAACATATATGTGAGTTAAAGTAGTTAGACTTTAAAATGTTAAAATGTCCTGTCATACGTCTTAGAATTTGGCAGCAATAAAAACGAAAATATAAAACATTAAGTTCATGATTTTTTAAATAGGTTTGCAAGTGTATAACAGTTTATTGAAACTGTCTTAAAACATGGAATATTAAGCAAATTTATGTTGAAAACGAAAAAAGAGGAATTTTGAGGAATTTTAGCTAATCGTTCATTTGTATAACAGTTTGACATAACTGTTATACTAGAGAAAAAATGTGCAAAATTTATAATAAACTTATTAGGGACATGTTAGGCATATAGATAACTGAAATCTGAGTGTATAACAGTTTGAGAAAACTGTAATACTACGAAAATATTGTTGAAAATTTTATAAAATTGAATAAACAACAAACAAAAAAAAAAAAAATATTCTTTTATACAGGGTGAGATGAAAAAACTGCAACCAACTTCAGACTGCCTGCAACCAAATGCCGAATATTATGGCGAAAAAATCCTGAAGGGTGTATGAAAGCCTTGGGCATGCAAACATTTTGGCCGCAGACCTTGGACATTCCAATAGGACTCAGCAGACGTCACCTAAGCATGGTTACAAAATGAGGTCCCTCGGTTCCTTTCCAGCGTATAGTGACCACCAAAATCTCCAAATACCAATCCGTTGGACTATTGTGTCTGGAGTATTTTGAAAATCAAGGTTGGCACTAAAAAATACCAAAATACCGCAGAGCAAGATTCGGGCAGCGTGTGACAGTTTCATTGGCCTTTCGAATGCCATAAGTGACTATTTCGCACAAATCTAAACTTATTCTAAAACGATGCTACTATTTCCGACATTTTTTTCTTTCAATCAACAAAATTTACAACAAAAAAAGGTAAAAATTTAGGCATTTGACTTGGTTGCAGTTTTTTTTATCTCACCCTGTTCAAACACCTCAGTTGAAAAACGTTATCTCTAAAAAAAATCCAAGCAACGCCTCTGTTGTAGAACGTTTTTTTTTAAATCCCCTCCACGGCTCTGTTGAAAAAAAAAAATTATTTCAAAAAATCGACTCAATGGCTCTGTTGGAAAAAAGTTTTCTTTAAATAAATCCATTCCACGCCTCTGCTGAAAAAAGTCTTATTTTAAAAATTCACTCCACGCCTCTGCTGAAAAAAGGCTTCTTTAAAAAATCCACGCCTCTCTTTAAAACCGTTTTTTAACCTACGCCTCTGTTGATAAAAGTTTCTTTTAAAAAATCCACCACTCTGTTGAAATCGTTTTTTTTTTTAATCCATGACTCTGTTGAAATAGTTTTTTTTTCATCCACGCCTCTGTTGAAAAAAAAAATTATTTCTAAAAATCCACTCAACGGCTCTGTTGAAAAAAGTTTTCTTTAAAAAAATCCATTCCACGCCTTTGCTGAAGAAAGTCTTCTTTAAAAAATCCACGCCTCCCTTGAAAAACTTTTTTTTTAATCCATGCCTCTGTTAATAAAAGTTTCCTTTAAAAAATCAACGCCTCTGTTGAAAAAAGTTTTTTTAATCCATGCCTCTGTTGAATTTTTCATCTGTTGAAAAAAACATTATTTCTAAAAATCCACTCAACGGCTCTGTTGAAAAAAATTTTCTTAAAAAAAATCAATTCCACGCATCTGCTGAAAAAAGTATTCTTTAAAAAATCCCCGCCCCCCTTGAAAAACTTTTTTTTTAATCCATGCCTCTGTTGAAAATGTTTTTTTTTTTTTAAATCCATGCCTCTGTTGAAAAAGTTTTTTTTTTTAATCCATGCCTCTGTTGATTTTTTTTTTTTAATCCACGCCTCTGTTGAAAAACAAATTATTTCTAAAAATCCACTCAACGGCTCTGTTGAAAAAAGTTTTCTTTAAAAAAATCCATTCCACGCCTTTGCTGAAAAAAGTCTTCTTTAAAAAATTCACGCCTCCCTTGAAAAACGTTTTTTTTTTAATCTACGCCTCTGTTAACAAAAGTTTCCTTTAAAAATCCACCCCTCTGTTGAAAATGTTTTTTTTATCCATGCCTCTGTTGAATTTTTCTTTTAATCCACGCCTCTGTTGAAAAAAAAAATTATTTCTAAAAATCCACTCAACGGCTCTGTTGGAAAAAGTTTTCTTTAAACGAAAAACCATTCCACGCCTCTGCTGAAAAAAGTCTTCTTAAAAAGTCCGCGCCTTCCTTGAAAAACGTTTTTTTAATCCACGCCTCTGTTAATAAAAGTTTCCTTTAAAAAATCCACCCCTCTGTTGAAAAAGGTTTTTTTTTAATCCACGCCTCTGTTGAAAAAAAAAATTATTTCTAAAAATCCACTCAACGGCTCTGTTGAAAAAAGTTTTCTTTAAAAAAATCCATTCCACGCCTCTGCTGAAAAAAGTATTCTTTAAAGAATCCCCGCCTCCCTTGAAAAACGTTTTTTTTAATCTACGCCTCTGTTAATAAAAGTTTCCTTTAAAAAATCCACGCCTCTGTTGAAAAAGGTTTTTTTAATCCATGCCTCCGTTGAAATGGTTTTTTAATCCACGCCTCTGTTGAAAAAATTTTCCATTAAAAAGTCCACTCCACGCCTCTGCTGAAAAAAGTCTTCTTTAAAAAGTCCACTCCACGCCTCTGTTGGAAACAAAGTCTACTTTAAACAATCCCGTTTTCGTTTCCTTCCATGAATTTATTGCATTCCAGGTAACGCCTGAAAGTATGCTTTGGTTCTTTTCACATCAATTGGCTTCATTCACCCAACATTAAAGAGGATTGAAGGTAGTTTTTTATTTGATGCATTTTATGGCTGAAATTTATGGATTTAAGTGAAAATTATTAAAAAACAATTTTCTTTCGACTGGAAAATTTAGTGAAAATCCGAAATTGATGATATTATTATTTTTATAATTTATTTAATTCAAATTTTCTCTACTTTCAAATATATCCCACTACTCAGACTGGCTATATATTTGGTATTTCTATCAAATTCTATGACTTTTGGACTTTTCTCCGACAGAGTGAATCGAAAATTAACCAACGGTGTTGAGAGAGCATACAGTAGCTCCATCACACCAAAACCAAAGGCAATGCAATTGCGTGGCCCATCACCAAATGTCAGGAAGGTATGAGTTGGCCTCTGTTTTTCCGAGGTCTCTTCAAATCGCTTCGGTAAAAATTCTTTTGGATTGGGATAGAAATCTTCATCATTGTGTATGCTGTAAATGGGTAACATAAGAGTGGCTCCTTCGGGTATTTCCAAAGGACCAGATTTGGTGTTCAGGGAGCAAGATTCGCGGCAGAGACGCAGCATGGCGGGGACAATGGGATATTTGCGTAAAGTTTCTGAAATGAAGATGATTTTTTTATAATTTCTTTAATAATTCCGATTTTTTTAAATGATTTATGGCCTATTTTTAGGGACAAAACGAAAGTGAACTCGAAAAAAATTAATCTTTCCATGCACATTTTTTCAACTTTTCGTTTTTTTTTTTTTTTAAATTTATAAAAAAAATTCTCCCAGAACTGATGAGTTTTTCCGATTTTTCTTTCGAATAATCCTGGAGAAATATTCCGGCAACCTTACCCATAATTACTTGCTTGACATATTTCAGAGACTTAAAATTTTCAAAGCTGACTTTCTGCGATGTCACCACCTGCTGGACCTCCATCCTTGCCTTTTCCTGCAACTCAGGTATCTTGGCCAACTCATAGAGGGCCTGACACAAGGCCGTTGATGAGGACTCATAACCCCCAATGAAGAAGATGAAAACATGACCCACTATCATGTCCATGGTCAACTGGAACTCATCTTCGTTGTCCCGACACTCCAACAGCAAATCCAAAAAATCATTACGCCGAACTTTGTACTTCTCGCGATACTCCACGGTGTCCTTGACAAGCTGCCCTTTTCCATGCGGGTCTTAAATTGATTCTGGCCATCTTCCAAACAGTTCACCTCAATGCCAAAGGCAATGGTACCAATGACATCCATGCTGAAACGTTTACACCAATCATGCATTTCGAGGACACCATCAGGTGACTGCCCCAACTCACCTGAGACAATTTCCACAAAACGTTCTCCCACCTGGGTCATAGTGGGAAACATGTACTTCAGCTTGGCTGGGGTAAAGGCAGGCGCCAATTTACGTCTCAATGGCTTCCACAAATCATATTTATATCTCACCAGATTTGCCATCAATGGATCCTGGTTATTGACATAGAATCCTCGTTCGGGAAATTTCTCAAATTTCGATGTCAGCACCTCCGTAATGGCTGTGTGATCCTGCAGTATCACCGAGGTGGTGAGTCCCGTTTCAATGACCTTGCATGGCTTCCCCTCCACTTTCATTTGGCGATACAGCTCATCGAGTATTTCAAATAGATGCTGCTTCCGGCTCTTGCCCAGCATATACCAAACTCCAAGCAAATCCACGTTTTGTCGCTTCCAAAAGGCAATTTTCCGTCTGTAGTTGACGAAAATCAAAAGCAGCGCCGTCAACAGCAGAAGTGATAGACTAATAAAATCTAGCATTTGGAGAGTTTTTTTTTTGGTTTCTTCTGTGATGGCTGACTTTATCTCTGTCTGATGGCTAATCTCGTACTGAAAACATGCTTGTCAAACGAAATCGCATTAAGCTGCGCTTTTGCACTGATAAAACCGGATTTCAGTGATTGCATTGCCCGAATGACCCACAAAACGTTCGTTGGCATTTCGAGGAGATAAAAACATAGAAAAAAAAAAATAGATTTTTTGGACTTTTCAAAAAGTTGAGAGAGGGGTTTGTCCTACCTTCAAAGAGAGATAGTAATTTAATCCCAAAACGAGAATTGACAATGGTTGAGTTTGAAAACTTTGATACTATAGAGAATTTTGAAAGCTATTCTTTTATATCCATTGCGAAAATATTCCTTAGAAAAGTCCTCGAGAATATCCCTTAATGTCCTTCAATTTTTCAAAAATTATTTACCTTAATAGGTATTCCTTTACAAAATTTCAGCATTATAGCTTTAGCCATTTCGAGTTTATTTGTCGTTTTCTCAATTGATTTATTGCCTTATAGTTAACGCCTAAAAGCATGCTAAGGTTTTATGAAAGCCATTTGCTATATTTACTCACTGCTGAAGTGAAGTAAAGCCAATGTTTTAATGAGAACTTGAATGTTTTGATTGAAAATATATTGGAAATGGATTTTCTTTCAAGAAAAGTAATAGAATATAGTTAGCAAATGGTGAGAGAGAGAGAGAGAGAGAGAGGTTTTGAACGGAGCCAGGTTAATTTAACTCGAATTAATACAGGAATCTTTCTATAGAGTTATGGCACTTTGCATTGCTACAAAACATTTATTGGTATTCGAAATTAATTGAATTCCTTTTTTTTGGAAAATGTGGACTTTTATTTAAAAATGAAAATCAATAATCAAGAAAATGGAATATTTCTCCAGAGGAAGGACACCATAATACCAAAACAATTTAAAAAAATGCAAAAAAATGGCTACCACCGGTTTTAGAAAAATTGTCACTAAAAATATACGAGATCATCCATTTTAACAAAAAATCACACAGCTAAGGAGGGTACCTTCCAAAATAGTTTTTAAATAGGCCAATAATGCCGAAATGACGGCCAACCAGAAACATTAATTTTAGGATCCAGGTTTCAATGTTTTTTGGTCATGCGAAAAAAATTTTTAAAAGCCGATTTTTCAGGTATTTCAGTCCTTGGAAAAGTTCTTCAAGAAATCCACGGGTTCTCAAAAAATATTTTCCCAACCCAACCCTGGTTTTTCAGCCCTAAAAAATTCTGTGAAAAAACCCACATTTGGTGATCTGTGCGTTCTGAAAAATATTTTTTAAATCAATTTTTTTCTGGAATATCAGTCTTTGGAAAAATTCTTTACAAAAATCCATGTTTGGTGATCTGTGGGATCGGAAAAAATATTTTTTAAAAAATCAACGTTTTCGTTTTTTAATAATTCAACGTCTGTGGGTTCTAAAAAAATATTTTTGTTGGTGATCTGTGCGTTCTGAAAAAATATTTTTTAAAACCCAAATTTTTTCTGGAATTTCAGTCTTTCGAATTTTTTTTTTAAAAATCCACTTTGTGGACCTGTGGTTTCGGAAGAAATATTTTTTGTTAAAAATCAACGTTTAGTGATCTGTGGGTTCTAAAAAAATATTTTTGTTGGTAATCTGTGGGTTCTGAAAAAAAATTTTAAATCAAATTTTTTCTGGAATTTCCGTCTTTGGAAAAATTCTTTAAAGAATCCACGTCTGGTGATCTGTGGGTTCTGAAAAAATATTTTTTAAAAAATCAACATTTGGTGATATGTGTGTTCTGAAAAAATATTTTTGTTGGTGATCTGTGCGTTCTGAAAAAATATTTTTTTGAAAATTAACGTTTAGTGATATGTGGGTTTTGAAAAAATATTCTTTTGACCGCTAAAAAAATATTCTTTAAAAAAATCTAAACTTGGAGTTCTTCTAGTCGTTTAAAAAATATTATTTAAAAAATGCAAGTTTGGAGGTCTTTTGGTCGTTCAATAAAAATTTTCTTTAAAAAATCCACTTTTGGTGATCTGTAGGTTCTAGAGAAAACATCTGTAAAAATTCCACTTTTAGTATAATGTGGATCCTAGAAAAACGTTCTTTAAAAAAAACTATAATAAATGGCCTGCGGGTTCTAGAAAAAATTCTTTAAAACATTTTTCGCCTGCGGGTCCTAAAACAAAAAAAACTATTGGTCCATTAAAAAACTATTCTTTAAAAAATCCACGCCTCTGTTGGTTTTTGAAAAATATTCTTTAAAAAATTCACTCCTCTGTTGGTCTTTGAAAAAATATTCTTTAAAAAATTCACACCTCTGTTGGTCTTTGAAAAAATATTCTTTACAAAATTCACACCTCTGTTGGTCTTTGACAAAATATTCTTTAAAAATACCACGCCTTTGAAGGTCTTTTAAAAAATATACTTAAAGAAATCCACGCCTCTGTTGTTGACTGAAAAAATATTCTTTAAAAAATCCACGCTTCTGCTATTGATTGAAAAAATATTTTTTAAGAAATCCACGCCTCTGTTGTTGAATGAAAAAATATTCTTTAAAAAATCCACACCTCTATAGGTCATTGAAAAAATTCTTTTTAAAAAATCCACGCGTCTATAAGTCATTGAAAAAATATTTTTTAAAAAATCCACGCATCTATAGGTCATTAAAAAAATATTTTTTAAAAAATCCACGCCTCTGTTGTTGACTGAAAAAATATTTTTTAAAAAATCCACACCTCTGTTGTTGACTGAAAAAATATTTTTTAAAAAATCCACGCCACTGTTGTTGACTGAAAAAATATTTTTTAAAAAATCCACGCCTCTGTTGTTGACTGAAAAATATTTTTTAAAAAATTCACGCCTCTATAGGTCATTGGAAAAATATTTTTTAAAAAATCGACGCATCTGTTGTTGACTGAAAAAATATTTTTTAAAAAATTCACGCCTCTATAGGTCATTGAAAAAATATTCTTTAAAAATCCACGCCTCTGTTGTTGACTGAAAAAATATTTTTTTAAAAATCCACGCCTCTGTTGTTGACTGAAAAAATATTTTTTTAAAAATCCACGCCTCTATAGGTCATTGAAAATATATTCTTTAAAAATCCACGCCTCTCATGGTCCATGATATAATATTCTCTACACAATCCACGCCGATGTTGTTGTTCTTTATCATCGACAAAAAGCTTCTTTGCTACAATTCGCCGCGAATTTCACAATTACCTGAAAACTGTGCTCATATTCAAATATATTTGTTGTAATTGATATAATCGAGTTTTGAAAATTATCAAATAAACATTTTCATTATCAGTCATTAGCAGGGGTTCTTAGGCGAGGCACTGCTGAATTTTGATCATTTTGATAAAAAAAATAAAACAAGTCGAAATTAATCTATTGAAAGTGTACGATTATATGTAATTTGATTTGTTATATTTCATAATTTAACGGTATATTAGTTTAATGAAAGTTATCTCTTAACAAGATATTTAAACAAAAGAAAAAAAAAAAACTTCAGTAATGCAAGAACTTTGTATCTCTCGGTGTTATCTCAAAAGCTCTGAAATGTTTGAAAGTTGATTTGGGTAGAGTGTAAACGAATTGGGTGAGCACTACTCAGGAGAGATAATATGAAAATGAGAGAGGGGAATAAAGAGAGTGAAATAATGAGCATGTTAGAAGTGGGAGAAATTATACTGAAATTGCGAACTCATACAGAGTTGGTGAATTCGTACTAAGCTTATGATCTAAAAGTGAGTTGGTAAATTCTTACTTAGCTGGCGAACTCTTATTCAGCTGGCGAACTTTTATTGAATTGACGAAGTCATAATAAGCTGACGAACTCATGGTGAACTGGCGAACTCATAGTGAGCAGGCGAACTCATAGTGAGCTGGCGAACTCATGGTGAGCTGGCGAACTCATAGTGAGCTGGTGAACTCATAGTGAGCTGGCGAACTCATAGTGAGCTGGCGAACTCATGGTGAGCTGGCGAACTCATTGTGAGCTGGCGAACTCATTGTGAGCTGGAGGACTCATTGTGAGCTGGAGGACTCATACTGAGCTGGAGGATTCATATGAGCTGTTGATCTCATACTGAGCTGGCGAACTCATACTGAGCTGGAGGACTCATACTGAGCTGGAGGACTCATATGAGCTGTTGATCTCATACTGAGCTGGCGAATTCATACTGAGCTGGCGAACTCATATTGAGCTGGTGAACACATAGTGAGCTGGAGGACTCATACTGAGCTGGAGGACTCATATGAGCTGTTGATCTCATACTGAGCTGGCGAATTCATACTGAGCTGGCGAACTCATACTGAGCTGGAGGACTCATACTGAGCTGGAGGACTCATACTGAGCTGGACGACTCATATGAGCTGTTGATCTCATACTGAGCTGGTAAATTCATACTGAGCTGGCGAACTCATATTGAGCTGGTGAACACATAGTGAGCTGGCGAACTCATACTGAGCTGCCAATCATTTTGGGAGCTAGCGAACTTGTATTGAGTTGGCAAATTCTTTGATGAATTGATAATATTTTCACGTCGATGGTAGGGTCTTTATTAAAATATAAAGAGGAAGAGCGACAGAGAGAGAGAGAGAAAAAGAGATTATTTCTCGCCATAAATGAGTAAATGCAGTTCGCATATGTCGTAAGTACATTTTTTATCAGTTAATATAAAAGAAGCTCCCCACGAAGCCACAACGTCTAGTCGAGGTTATCAGGCGGTGGGACATAGACGCCGTTGTATTGACAAACCAAAAAAAAAAAACTTGCAACCAACCACTTCAAACTTTTCGGAATCCAAGCAACTTGCGAACGAGAGAGAGAGAGAGAAAAAACAAAACAATGTGGGAATTAGTTCTCCTATCTCTGGTGCTCCTCATTGCCTTGACAATACGACACATCCGAGAGCACTACAAATATTGGCAACATCTGGGCATTCCATGTGGAGAGACAAGTTGGATATTTGGCAGTATGGTGGGAGTGGTTACCAAACGTTCCTTTTTTGAACTCTGGCTGGAGTATTACAACCGCTTCAAGGGCAGCGGCCCCTTTACCGGTTTCTTTTGGTTTTTCAAGCAGGCCGTATTCGTCATGGATCCTTGGCTGATTAAGCAAATTCTCATCAAGGATTTTGACAAGTTCATGGATCGTGGTTTGTTCTACAATGAAGTTGATGACCCCTTGTCGGCCCATTTGTTTTCCATGCATGGCCAGAAGTGGAGAAATTTGAGGAACAAATTATCGCCCACCTTTACTTCCGGGAAAATGAGAACCATGTTCCCGACCGTGGTCCAAGTGGGTCATGAGTTACTCGATGTGCTGGGCGAGGATATAGAGAAGAGTGACGAAATTGAAATACGTAGTTTGATGGCCCGCTATACCACCGATGTAATTGGCTATTGTGCCTTTGGCATTGAATGCTGCAGTCTCAAGGATCCCCAACAGCTGTTCTACATCATGAGCAAACGGGCCCTGCTGGAAAACAATTTGGGTAGCCTGGGGGTGGCTTTTCGTGGCAGTTTCCCCAAGTTGGCGCGGCGTCTACACATGAAAGACACCGTGGCCGATGTGGAGAATTTCTTCCTGGGCACGGTACGAGAAACCGTGCGCTATCGCGAAGAGAACTCCATTCAGCGCAGCGATTTTATGAATTTGCTGCTGGAACTGAAAAATAATCGCGTGATTAAGAATGAGACGGGAGATGAGTTTGTCAATTTGACATTCAATGAAATTGCGGCTCAGGCATTTTTGTTTTTGGTAGCTGGGTCAGAGACCTCATCGAATACCATGGTGTTTGCCCTGTATGAGTTGGCTTTGCATCAGGAGGTCCAGGACAGGGCTCGAGCTGAGGTGCAAAGGATTTTCGAAGCATGCAACGGGGAGATGGTGTATGAAACGATGTCACAAATGAAGTATTTGAAGCAGGTCATTGATGGTGAGTAAAAGCTGTAAGAAAATGAGTCAAAGGTAGCTCGTAGTGCAGTGGAGGCTTGAGGTTAACTGGCGGCAGGCTGGGGGACATATAGTGAACTGTTGGACTTGCGGACATTAAGGGAGTTGGCAAACTTATAGCGAGTCATCGAACTTGTATTGAGTTAGAGAAATTGCACTTAGCTAACGAACTTCTAATGATTTGGGGAACTCATCGTGAGCTGGCGAACCCATACTGAGCTGGCGAACTCATGGTGAGCCATTGAATTCATAGTGAGCTGGGCAACTCATTGTGAGCTGGCGAACTGATTGTGAGCTGGCGAACTGATTGTGAGCTGGCGAACTCATAGTGAGCTGGCGAACTCATAGTGAGTTGGCGAACTCATAGTGAGCTGCCGAACTCATGGTGACCTGGCGAACTCTTAGTTAGCTGGCGAGCTTATAGTGAGCTGGGGAACTCATAGAGAGCGGGCAAACTCATAGTGACCTGGAAAACTCATAGTAAACTGGCGAGCTCATAGTGAGCTGGCGAACTCATAGTGAGCTGGCAAACTCATAGTGAGCTGGCAAACTCATAGTGAGCTGGCGAACTCATGGTGAGCTGGCGAACTCATAGTGAGCTTGCGAACTCATAGTGAGCTTGCGAACTCATAGTGAGCTGGCGAATTCCTAGTTAGCCATCGAACTCATAGTGAGCTGGCGAACTCATAGTGAGCTGGCGAACTCATGGTGAGATGGCGAACTCATAGTGAACTGGCGAACTCCTAGTTAGCCATCGAACTCGTAGTTAGCCATCGAACTCATAGTATAGCCACCGAACTCATTTGAGCCATCGAACTCTTAGTGATCTGGCGAACTGTTAGTGAGCTGGCGAACTCTCAGTAAGCTGGCGAACTCATAGTGAGCTGGCGAACTCATGGTGAACTGGCGAACTCATAGTGATCTGGCGAACTCATAGTGAACTGGCGGACTCCTAATTAGCCATCGAACTCATAGTTAGCCATCGAATTCAGTTGAGCCATCAAATCTCGAATTTTCTGAATTTTATCCCCTATTATTTCTCATAATTTTCTATTCGTGTTTTTTTTTTTTTTGCAGAAACCCTTCGCCTACACACCCCTCTGCCCGTCTTGAATCGCCACGCCCTCGAAGATTATCCTGTTCCCGGTCATCCGAAATATGTGATACGAAAAGATATGCCCGTCATAATCCCCGCCATTTGCCTGCATCGTGATGAACAGTATTATCCCAATCCCGACGTTTTTAATCCGGACAATTTCACCCCTGAACAAGTGGCTCTACGAGATCCAGTACTCTATCTCCCTTTTGGGGATGGGCCAAGAAATTGCATTGGCCTACGATTTGCTAAAATGCAAATGATGGTGGGCCTTAGTTTACTTTTGAGTAAATTTAAATTTACCATCTGCGAAAGGACACCGGTGCCCATGAAATATGATAAGGAGAATTTTATGTTGACACCGGAAAAGGATTTGTATCTGAAGGTGTCAAGGATATGAGAGCATTTTTTTAAATAAATAAAGCAAACGTAAAAATGTCAATGATTTTGTTCCATTATTATTTTTTTCCTCTTATGATAAGGTCTCGACGGCCATTATGGCTAATTTAATTCGCAGCCATATCCTGGCGTGAACACATCCTTAGGCCATTAAAATTGCTTAATGTCTTCGTTATAACGGCCGTTTTTTTTTTGTTCAGCCGATAATGATGTCAATTAATAAATCTCCAGCATAATGACAGGATAATGCGGCTTTTCGTTGCGATACCAGCTCACTGCCGTTGTGATTCCTGGTACTTTTTTTCTCCCACTCCTCCTTCATCAACCTCTCTCTCTCTCTGAGCTAATGTGAATGTCGTTGTGATTCTTGGTACTCTTTCTCTCCCACTCCGGCTACTTCTCTCTCTCATTCTCTGAGATAATGTGAATGAGTGGCCAATAAAGCGTTTTCTTTTTTATACCCTACACCACAAGGTGGTCAGGGTATTATGTCTTTGTGCATTTGTTTGCAACAGGCAAAAGGAAACGAGATGGACCCATAGTTCCTTTTGATGATCTGCATAGAATCACATTCTGAGTCGATTTATGCATGTCCGTCCGTCCGTCTGTCCATGTATTTTTGTAAACAAAGTACAGGTCGCATTTATTGCCCGATCCAGATGAAATTTTGCAAAGATCTTTTGTTTGGCCCAAGGACGAACCCTATTGAAATTGGAGATAATCGGTCAAAATTTAGATATAGCTCTCATATATATCTTCGTCCGATTTGCCTTTTATTATGCACCATACGTGTAATATCAGCCTGAATTGTATGGAATTTTGCATATACACCCAAATTAGGCCTGAAAATATGTATGCCAAATTTGATCGAAATCGGTTCAGATATAGCTATAGCTCCCATATATATTGTTCATCCGATTTGTTATTTTTGTCCACCGCCGCCGTAATATGCACTCTGTAACAAGAATATTTGGGGAAATATATCAAATACAGCTCAGAAATACATTTGCTAACTTTTATCGAGATCGGTTCAGATTTGGATATAGCTCCCATATATAATTTCGTCCGATTTACCTTTTATTGTGCACCAAACGTCTAATATTTGTCCAAATGGGATGAAATTTTCAACTTACGACCGAATTGAGTCTAGAAGCTAGTATGTCAAATTTGGTGAAGATCGGTTCAGATATAGCTATAGCTTCCATATATATTATTCATCCGATTTGTTATATTTGTTACCCACAACCGTAATATGCACTCCGTAATAACGATATTCAGGGAAATATATCAAATACAGCTCAGAAATATCTTTGCCAAGTGTTATCGAAATCGGTTCAGATTTGGATATAGCTCCCATATATATATCTTTATCCGATTTCAAATTAATTGTGCACCAAATGGGCAATACAATTCCTAATTTAAAAGATACAAATGCTTCGGCATATTTAGTCCTTTGAACTTTAAATTATAATTATAATCACAGCGTGTAAGATTGAATTCTCCCATAAAAACTCTTAATTGTTATGTGGAGCTCTACTTAATTAGCAAAGTGGTGTAGGGTATCATAAAGTCGGCCCCGCCCGACGTGAAGACTTTCTTTACTGGTTTTTCAGTTACAAATGAAGCAAAAATGGAAAAATAAATTAATGCTTTGTCCTTAAACGTCATTATTAAGACGTTCGCACTCGTGACTTCCAATATCAATAAAGGTGAGACTACATCTTTAGGCTTTTATGAAGGCAAGCCATTAAAAATCCATCACACACACACACACACACACACACATTCACAAGATTTACGTGTCATGTTTGGTTTTTTTATGTTTTGGTTTATGGGCTGTCGAATCGGCAATGGGAAACCTTTTTGGGGGGAAATATTCATGGCTTGCCATTTTTAAGAAAAATCAAGATCCGCATTATCTAAGAGGCCCAACATCATTATCCGCGTTATCCAAATGCTGTAAAATCATTATCCGCATTATCCAAAAGTCCTAAAATCATTATCCGCGTTATCCAAAAGTTCTGAAATATTTATACGTGTTATCCAAAGATCCAAAATCATTATTCGCGTTATCCAAAAGTCCTAAAATATTTATCCGTGTTATCCGAGTCATTATTATCTGTGTTAACCGAGTGCTGCAAAATTATTATTCGAATTATCCAAATGCTGTGAAATAATTATCCGCATTATCCAAAAGAACGAAAATCATTGTCCGTATTCTCCAAGTGCTGCAAAATCATTATCCGCGTTATCCGAGTGCAGAAAAATCATTATCCGATTTATCCAAATGCTGTAAAATAATTATCCGTATTATTCAGAAAGCCCAAAATCATTATCCGCATTACCCAAAAGTCCTAAAATGATTATCCGTTTTATTCCAGTGCCTGAAAATTATTATCCACATTATCCAAATGCTTTGAAATAATTATCCGCATTATCCATTATTCAAAAGGCCCAAAATCTTTATCCGCGTTATCCAAAAGTCCTAAAATCATTATCCGTTTCATTCCAGTGCTGCAAAATGCTTAACCGTGTTATCCAAAAGGCCCAAAATCATTATCCGCATTATCCAAAAGACCAAAATTTTTATCCGTATTGTCCAAGTGCTGCAAAATCATTATTCGCGTTATTGCCCGCATTATCCAAATGCTGTAAAGTCATTATCCGCATTATCCAAAAGGGCCAAAATCATTATCCGCGTTATCCAAAACTCCTAAAATCATTATCCGTGTTATCAAAGTGCTGCAAAACTATTATCCGCGTTATCCGAGTGCTGCAAAACCATTATCCGCGTTATCCGAGTGCTCCAAAATCATTATCCGCATTATCCAAAAACATAAAATCATTATCCGCATTATCCAAAATATTTATCCGTATTATCCACTTTATACGAATACTGTAAAGTCATTATTCGCATTATCCAAAAGGCCCAAAATCGTTACACGTGTGCTGCAAAATCATTATCCACATTATCCAAAATTATTATCCGTGTTATCAAAGTGCTGGAGAATCATTATCCGCGTTATCCGAGTGCTGCAAAATCATTATCCGCATTATCCAAAAACCCACAATCATTATCCGAATTATCCAAAATAATTATCCGTATTATCCAAGTGCTGCAAAATCATTTTCCACTTTATCCAAATGCTGTAAAGTCATTATCCGCATTATCCAAAAGGCCCAAAATCATTATCCGCGTTATCCAAAAGTCCTAAAATCATTATCCGTCTTTGCAAAGTTCTGCAAAGTCATTATCAGCGTTATCCGAGTGCTGCAAAATCATTATCCGCGTTATCCAAATACTGTAAAGTCATTATCCCCATTATCCAAAAACCCAAAATCATTATCCGCATTATCCAAAATAATTATCCGTATTATCCAAGTGCCAAGTGTTATCAAAGTGCTGCAGAATCATTATCCGCGTTATCCGAGTGCTGCACAATCATTATCCGCGTTATCCAAATGCTGTAAAGTCATTATCCGCATTATCCAAAAACCCAAAATCATTATCCGCATTATCCAATATAATTATCCGTATTATCCAAGGGCTGCAAAATCTTTATCCGCATTATCCAAAAGTCCCAAAATCATTATCCGCGTTATCCAAAAGTCCTGAAATCATTATCCGTGTTATCAAAGTGCTACAAAATCATTATCCGCGTTATCCGAGTGCTGCCAAATGCTGTAAAGTTATTATCCGCATTATCCAAAAACCCCAAATCATTATCCGCATTATCCAAAATAATTATCCGTATTATCCAAGTGCTGCCAAATCATTATCCACTTTATCCGAATACTGTAATGCCATTATCCACATTATCCAAACGGCCTAAAATCATTATCCGCATTATCCAAAAGGCCCAAAATCGTTATCCCTATTATCCAAGTGCTGCAAATCTATTATCCGCATTATCCAAGATACCCATAATCATTATCCGTGTTATCCAAGTGTTGGAAAATCATTATCCATACTATCCAAATACTGTAAGGTCATTATCCACATTATTCAAGTGGCACAAAGTCATCTTCCACCTTATCTAAATCATATAAATCCATTATCCGCAAATGAAAAAAAATAAAGCATTATGCCCTTAACACTTCCCATCTCTGGACATGAAAATGCAGCATCATCGTTCGACCTGCCTATTCTTCTTCTGCGTGTGCAGGCGTCAATCACTTTAAGCCAGTTAATACGAACACATTTGTACAGAAATTTGCACATTCTTCTCCCACTCTCTGCCTCTCTCATTCATTCTCTTCCCCCTTTGCTTGCGGAGGAAAGTGTTTCGTTGCGAACCTTAAGAGGTATTGTGGTGGAAAATATTTTAGTCATTTTCTTCTTCCGTATACAAAAATTCGCTCGATTGCCTTGGCCTCGGGTAGTGGTGGCGGTAACGGTTTTCTTGCAAACGTTTCTTTTTGCAACATTCACGTAATGTGGCCGTGAATGACTTTTCGTTATTTTGCGGAGATTTTTTTCACCCCGCTCTGCTGCTGGTTGTTAGGCGGGCACGTACTTCAAGTTAACATGTGTTTTCATTTCATTCCGTTCTGTAAAGGATTTCTTTGTGGCCGTTGCAGCTCCTTTTGAGTGGCAGTACAAAAGGAATATTTCACTTAACCACAATGACTGAGACGTGAATGAATCGAAAGAATTGCCGATCCGAATGATGTGTCAGTCATTGATGGATGCATGAATTGAAGATTTACTTAGCGTGGTGCGTGCGGAGGAATGTTGGGTAAAATGCCAAGGGTGAAATGTGAGGAGGGTGTAGGTTACTCGGGGGTGATGGGAGGGGAAAAGAGAGGGACAGGGAGAGAGAGAGAGAGAGAGGGAGGGGAGAGAGAGGGAGGGAGGGAAGGAGAAAGAGAGGAAGGGAGGGAGAGAGAGAGGGAGGGGGAGAGATAGAGAGAGGGAGGATGAGAGAGAGAGAGAGAGTAGGAGGGAGGGAGAGAGAGAGAGAGAGTAGGAGGGAGGGAGAGAGAGAGAGAGTAGGAGGGAAGGAGAGAGA